CACTTTGTTTGAGCCGTTCCGGCTGATCCAGCTATGACCTAGTTATAAGACATATAACATTACGTCATCACACAATATGTAGCTTGTTCTTAGCATTAAAGGCAGCAGTTGTTTGATTTTATTTTTCTCCCCTACATGGGTGTTGTCATCAGCTAACGGGCCTCAATTGCCCGTGGTTTTGCGCTCAGGCGTTTTGGGTTAATTCTCCCGCTCTAACCCATCCGACCATTCCGTAACCAAATGTGTCTATAAACCAAGGTTGTGTGAGTTTAGAAAGAAATATACATAGACAAAAGCAGTTGAAGTTTAATCTTTAAAAAAGTGAAACGATGTGAATATACATAACAATTTATTTTTAATTTATCAAAATACTTCATACATTAATATGTTAAACTATCTAGTGTATAAAATCTGATTATTATTAAATAAAATGTTACTAGATTAAAAGAAAGTTAGCCTTAACGATAACGACGAAGAAACAAAATAACGTGTTATTACTGATATTAACCGTTAAAAATATTCGTTACTCTTTTTATTACTCCTTATAACAATGTTTTTTTTCCATACATGTTATGATGTATGAACATTAGACGTCAAGAAGGGAACAAGAAAAAAGTGAACATTCACAACTTTTATAGACGGTGGCTGAATATAAAACATTTCCACTTTTCATCTGAACCTCAAATGTTCCTGAAGTTTCCACAGATTGATCTTCTGTACTAACACCACCGAGCCGTGACTCCACACCACCAGATTTGTGCACAACAACAGCTCCTACAGCACTGTCTCCTGTTTGTTTTATTGTAAGACTTGCTTTATACAGGCCATCAACAGGGGCAGTAAAAATTCCAGTCTTTGGATCAAAATGGTTTCCTACGTTACATTCTACAGCACTGAATGTAATAACGTTGTTTCTGATATACATTTTCCCGTCCCAGCGACCTTGTGAAGCAATAAACCCCAGTGTATGTCTCACTTGTTGATTCGCTGCAAGAAATAAAATACAACAACGTATCTACACATTACCAAATAAGTTGTACAAACAATGTACATTTAACCTAATTGTAAAACACGTGTTGGATGTATTTAGGCCAATTTTATCACAATATTATATTTTAATTAATTATATTAATTATTATATTTTATCACAATATTATTCTGCCAAATCAACCAGGAATTTTTTTGCATAGATTTTTAAAACACACATTCAAAAACTAGATATTTTCCAAGTAAACAGTAAGTTGTAGAAATGTATATTGAATGCCCGTAAACCACACAAGAACTAAACCATACACATTATGGACTAATTGTTTGTTAATTTAAAAACAACAACAACAATATTTTGACGGTTGATGCCCAAGATACACAATAGCAGTGTAGGGCTTGCCCAAAAACAGAAGACTACATTAAATCTATCACTCCCTAGCTATTGGCTACAATTTTGTTGTTGTTGTTTTTTTTAAATTATTTTAGGTGGGTTATTTCCCTTTCTCAAGTAACCAAAAAAGTCTCCCACTGTAACGACCATTACATTTCTGGTATAGGATGAAGCAAAAATAATTCCAATAATAACAATTAGAAAATGCCCACACGTTTTTCCATTACATTATCCTATAGTTTAAAAGCCCTTTATTTATAATAATTATAAAAACAAAATTTCTTTCATATTACATTATTTTGAGAAAAAATGTGTTCAAATTAATGTTCATGATGGATTATAATGTTTTACTTACACTTTCATGAGGACATTTTTTTAATATATAGATAATGATTTTGTTAAAGAGCATAGTTTAAATTAATTTCTAATGAAAGCATTAGTAAAAATAAAATCCATTTCTCAAAATAAAAAATTATACAAAAACAACTCTTAAAAATTCCACACTGGCCAATACTTAGTATAGGCCTATATAATACAATTAATTTTCATTTGAAGAAAGAACGTTAGCCATGTAACAATTATTTATGTTAGTTATCTTACCTGGCATTATTTTACTTACCAAATGTCTGAGAATCCCCTGACAAGGTTAAAACATCTTTTTCCTGTGTTTCAATCTAAGAATAGAACAATAACTAATAAACACCTTATTTAATCCATATTATAAACTGTAGATCTCAGAAGACACATGTTACTTAAGCAGCTTAAAATTTACATTTAAGACACATCACCAGAGTGTACAAGAAAAAACTCAGTTGCAAGTTTCAAGTGGGATTTATACATCACATTTATAATTCATAATAATCGTTCTTGTTATTTTGATCTGATCTTCTTGTACTAAATTTTTGTTATTTGAATTCAATATAATGTTAAATGGGAATACTCCTCTTCATGTGATGAAGATTGTTTATCTCCAGAGTTTTTAAATTTCACATTAGCTTTTTTTTTTAATTTACTACTTCAGCATCTGAAATTGTCCCAATTTTTATGGTGTTGTAATAAAATGGTAAACATCTGGGAAAAAAAATGCTGTTCGTTTTATTTACTCTTTCTGTACTTTTACTATCATATAAATATACCTCGTGCACTAAACCATATAAGGTATTGTGTTAGTATTAATTCTAATTTTTTTGTTAAGATTACACAAATAAGTCAGGTGTATGATTGCCACAAGGTCTCTTAACTATGTAGGCCCTATTTCCATTTTCTATTTTTATGGATTGTGTAATAAGAACATTCGAATCTGACAAGCCAGGTGCTTGAGTGGAACCCCAGGGAAAATGAAAGTGAGGGTGCCCAAGATAGACCTGGAGGCAGAGTCTTCTTGCAGAACTAAAGACAGTAGGAATGTTTTGAGAGGTTGTAAAATAAACAGTGTGGGAAAGAACAAAATGGAAGGTTATGTGTGAGGCCATTTGCTCCACAACAAGTAAAGAGGAATAAGTCACAGTCATAATTATAAAATGCATAGAGGCACTAAAAAGATGACATGACAAAACATCTATTTTACTATTGCATAGTTATATACTCTGATATAGTAAAGTATATATAAATACAATATAGTATATAGTATTTAAGGAAAATATTCAAACATGTATAAAAAACAATCTATACAGGTATTTTACCTTTAATTTTCTCTCCTTAGTCTCAAAATGTCTATTAAAAGTTTGATTCAATTTGTCAATAGGCATCAATCTTTGTTGTAGAAGTTTACATATAACAGTGTGCTATTGAATAAAAAAATTGGTAGTAATGCATATAAAAGAAATTCATATTAAACAAAGTGTATGTCAAAATGAACATAAATTGAGTAATATAAAACATTTTAAATACAAGTTATCAGATAAAAATTAAACAGCTTACTACAACTTTTATAAATTATTACCTTAGACAGTATATTTTCACAAAATTTAGTTGTATTCATAATATTTTTCTTTTCATCTTCTTGTATTGTAGATATCAAATCTGAATGGCTCCTAATTTCTTGTGATACATTTTCTTTTTGATCTCTCTGAACCTGTATCTCTTTATTCATATTGTCTAAATTGCTTTTGTAATCTATCAAATCTATTGACATTTTCTCTACCATTTTATTAGATATTGATTCTTTTTCTCTTAAACATTCAATTTCTTCAAACAGGTTCTCTATTTTGTTATTTTGTTCACGTATTTGTGCCCTAATGTTTTTTAAATTTTGTTTATGTTTCTTGGACAACTTTTCAACTTTAATCCCCACATCACTGTGTTCTGTTACAAAATTGTCTCTCCATTGTTTTATTTCTGATACGTCATCTTCAGTCTTTTGTTTTGTGTCTTGAAGTGATGATAAAGCTGTTTCAATTTCCTTTAGTCTTCTATGTGTTTCTGAATTTTTTTCAACTGTTTGGTAAAATATTAAAATGTGGTAATAGGTGACCAAAGAAAAATATTACTTATATTTAACATATAAGACTAATGTTAGTATAAATACTTTGGATACAAGAAATGTAGAGTTAATAAAATACTTAGGTTAAAAAAAATCATGCTTTATACCAGGGGTCTCCAAACTATGGTCCATGGACCGAATGCGGCCCGCAAGGTCCTCTCATCCGCCCCGCAGAGATATTTTTGTCCACGGAAAAATGTTTGTTGGAGGTAGCTGAGGAACTTTGCCCAGAAAATTCAAAACGATTTGAAAATGTAGCTTTGGGTGCAACTACCGTTGCCCACCGTGTTGCAGACATTGATGAACACATTGTAACTCAAACAGTGAAAAATGCATGCAAGTTTTGCCATTTTTCAATTGCAATGGATGAGTCGCTGAAGTTTATATATATTTCTATATATTTTAAATTTCGTTGGTGGGGGGTAGGTAAAGGGGGGTATATGTTCTTCGGCGGGGAAGAGGGGTGGGGCTCCGCCACTCCAAAGAGATGCCCAGAAGAAACTGGCCCCGAACTGATATTTGATAGTAATGCGGCCCTCGGGCTGAAAAGTTTGGAGACCCTTGCTTTAAACTATTTGTAGTATTCATTTAATTTATTAGATGAAAGAGAAATAAAAAAAAATATTACAAATCATGTTTTTCTCATACAATGCTATTGGAGTGCTATATATTTTGATGAAGCATTTTAAATTTTGTTTTAATTATACAGCTTGTCATTATTCATTGGAGGCTACACTTTTCTTATGAAAAGCTTTTGTTGTGAGTTGTTCAGTAATTTACATTTTAGGGAGTATAATTAAATGTACCTGACAATAAGTCTTTAGGAATAAATCTGCTATCTGTTGGTTGCAAAATTTCTGGTGTTGTCTTTTCTCCTGTTATCACAGTAGGAGGGTACAGCTTGGTGGATTCTGTCAACAAGATATAAACATGATGCACATCAGTTAACATTAAACAAAATGAAGGACTGGCAAGAGAATTGTCAGTTGTATGTACAGTAGCAAGTTTTTATTAAAATATGGTTATTTCATAAATCATTTTGGCTAATATTCAATAATATTTTACAAGCATAATCTTTTAATGATTGTTAACAAACAACAATTTGCTATCAAAATGTGTTTTATTAAATGATGACGATACCTGTAAACATATATGTGAGATCATGCAAAGTACTTTGTGCTGCTGTTACCATAGCAATTGCATCTTTTATATCTTTATTTGAGTCAGTAGTGGCTCTGATCTTAATCTTGACATGTAAGAAAAGTGTATTAAAGTGATAGATTAGATTAGTTTCAACTTGAACAATGCAAATATTGTAGAGCTAATGATGGGATTGCATGCTAAATTGCGTTTAACAAGTTACAGTTAAAGTTCTTGTTTTTTCCCACAGATTATGTAGATAAATCTAATGGGATGAAGTGGGTGTTTAAAAAAAATGATTAACAGATGATCACTCAGTGTTTAACATAATAGGCCTACATGTCTTTATCCACTAATTATGTAGATGAATCTAAGAAATATGTTATAAACAATATGTTACATACAAAAAATGTATATGACATCAGAAGATTGTATTCAATGCTTTATAATATAAAGTAAAAAAATATATTGTAAATAAATACTAATGTAATTAATAATATTATTATTTTAGATAACAAGTGAAGCATGTAACTAAAAATGCACACCAATGCAAATAAAACCATTATGATTTACCTGCTGTACAATATCACTGATGCTACTCTGTAGATAAACATTTGACTCATCCAATAGTTCAAGTTGACCAGTCAAATGTTTCTTTAAATGTTGATACATCTGCAAAAGGCATATTTTAGTTTATTTTACTTAGATGATACATTTTTAGTCAATTTAATTTCTTAATCAGATGCTTTCGTTTACAGATTATGAAATAATATGTGTTAGACTTATGTTTTAAATGATAAAATTTAAAACTAAATTGGAAAACAACTTTTGACTTTACAAGTAATTCTAGTTTATTATTATTATCATATTATGCATTGCTTACTTTTAAAATGGCTACACTTTATTTTTAAACTACATTTATATCATTTAGACTACTGTTGTTTAAATTTTCGTAAATTACATCCAAACACACTTTACAGTCCTAATTCTATTTTGATCTAAATCAGTAATACCTTAAAATTATTTAAAATTTTGTTTTAGAGACTTAAAACAAAATGGCCTATCTTCTTTTCCTCTTAACACTGAAAAATAATATCGGGAAAATCCAATTTCTCTGAATTGCTCAATTCACTTTGTGGAATTAAAATTTAGAATCTTTAAGTGTTTACTATTTGATATTTTTTATTATTAAATTATATACAAACAGTAAAATAAATTACATTATATATTTGCTAAATGTTTTTAAAGAGCCATATACTAATTCATCTTGTGTATAACACGTCATGTACTGCCTAAACATGAGTAAGGAATGAAAGTGAAACCATTTACTTTACATTGCTGCTGAGTCTACGCGTATCTTTTTTTATATGTTATAATACCCTAGTGCTAGTTAATTAACAAAGAGTTATATTAGTAAAATCAATAATTAATTTCTTTTGTTTCACTTTGTTATAAAGTCGTTGATACAGTTTTTACATAAAATACGATAGACACAGAGTCTATCGTATTTTATGTAGGATAAGGATACACATTTTTTTTAATAGCGCATTTGTGGAATATGTAGTTTGCTCAATTTTTATTTTATTTTTTTAAGATTTGAAGGCGTTTTATTTTAATCCCAAGCGATCCAGCGATAATTGGTGTTGCCAAACAAATTGTAAGCACTTGATGTTCTAGTGTTCTTGTAGTTTAGTCAGTGTATCACAGAGGCGTAGCGACCCTTCCCTGCGCCGGGGACAAACTTTTCGAGATTTCCATTTGCACCCCCCCCCCTTTCAATTTATTTTTCCAACCCATTTTGGCGCCCCCTAAGGTCGGCGCCCGGGGACATATATACCCCCTTCGCTACGCTACTGGTGTATCAACTAATGTCTTCAATTTGACTCCATCTCCTCCACATCCCGTTCCATGTCCACCTTCCTCCCAGAGGCGTGTCCAGGTTTTCGTTGTAGGGGGAGCGAAAAGAGCAAAAAAAGGCGCCAAATTTTTTAACCATTCTATATACGTGAATCATATGTGTGTATATATACCTGTATCATATGTATATATATTTCACTGATTACGAACGATAGTTGCTTGAAATGAGGACACCGTCAACCAAATCAAAGACAAGATTAATTTAAAAAGACATAAAAAGACGAAGGACCCAACAAAATTACAAACACAAAAAAGACCCAGTGAAAACAATGTACAGCTTAAAATTGAAAATAGCATCTAGACATTGAAGATTAGCACACGAATGTTACCAAACCTTGAAAAACGACTGACTATCTTTACCAAAAGCCAACCTCAAAGATATACAAGACAGAGAATATTACTTGACGAAAAATCACTCAACCAAAAAGCCGGACTGTAAACACGACTGGATGATGTTAAAAAGGGGACTTAAGACATTTATGTTATTTTTTTTATCTTAAATAAATTCTCCATTATAAATTATAGTTAAAACATTAGCTAGACAACAGCACAATACTGACAAGTCTACGAAAAATCTAACTTCTACCCACTCCACCACTCCACTAACAGAAAACATTAGAGTAGGTCAGCAAGTACAAAACACACCAAGGAAGTCGCCGATTTAGATAACGTCTTGGTGAAGGAAAAAGAAAGAACAAACCAACAACCAGACCGGACAAACTCTCTAGCAAAATTCATTAAAAATTGTAAACAGCTGAGTGACAGTGACCGACTTGGCCCACAACTTTACACAGAGGACACGATCTTAGAGACCATAGGCGGCATAAGGAGACTGGTCAAAGGGAGACAACAATTAAATATCTTTTAGGTAGCTTACCCTTTTTTTCTAAAAAAAAAAATTATAATATGCGTAAAAAATCTATGTAATCATACTAAATTTTTGTAAAAAAAAAGTTATTTTACATTGGTAAAAATTAAAGCCGTTTGGGAACCATCGATTACACACATTTTTATATTTTTGTATTGAATATAAGCTGTTGAAAAGCCCTTTAGAATTATTTTATCAATTCAAATATTTTCAAAAACTGACCTCAACCACTCCTTGAAGTCAACTGGAGTGGCCAGGGAGAGTAAAACAATAAAAGTCAGAACAATTGTTTTCCGTGATAAAAATACACAACAGTGATCTATGGTATATAGCGTAGTATTTTGTTTAATATTAAATAATATAACATCCCCAATCACCACAACACCATGAATATATAAATCCAAATAAAAAATAAAAGTGTTTGTAAATCACTATTGTATTCTACAACTGTACTTTTTGGTTTTTTGTCTGCTGACCTCCTATTTGACCTTATTTGATGAGTTAATTAATGGTAAGGTCTCTTTCTGAAAGCTTTCTGTTTAATCAAGTCAAGTCTTTGATGTTTGCAGCTAACAAAATTCTGAAGGCTCTATAGTGTATTCAGGATTATCCGTCTCTATGGGAAGTTTGTGTTTTGGAGGATATGAGGCCTACAAATGGGAAAAATCTAAATATTTAGTATCAAAATAGTAATAATATGTTTAATATGTAATGGCTATCAATAAAAGTCCTAATAAAAGTTTCTAATATGTTGAAAACAAGTTCGGATTCTATTCTACATTTACACTTTAATAAATGCTATTAATTGTACAACATATTGATATTTTATTGTTTAAATACAATTAATCTCCTTCCAAATGTCGTGTCATGATTTCTGAAGGGAACAAGAAAAATGCGAACATTCCAAATCCGGTGAGTTAGCTGCTGAAAATAAAACATCTCCAGTTCTCAATCTCACCCGAACCTCAAAATTCCTTGAAACTTCAACAGATTTAGATTTTGTCCAAACATCCCCCAGCCAATTCGTCTTACCGCCAGATTTGTGATAAACACCAGCTCCAACATTAAGAGCTCCTGTTTTTTTAATTGTAAGACTTGCTTCATACAGGCCATTAGCAGGGGCGGTAAACACTCCAGTCTTTGGATCAAAATGGTTTCCTACGTTACGTTTCTACAGCACTGAATGTAAAAACTTGGTATCCGCCATACATTTTCCCTTCCAAGCGACCTTGTGAAGCAATAAACCCCGGTGTAGAAGGTTTCACTTGTTGATTGGCTGCAAGAAATAAAATACGAAAGGTATCTAAACATTACCAAATACTTAATACTAACTTTTTTTTTTAAACTTGTTGGTTGAACTTAGATCAAATTATCAACTTAGAACTGTTCCGAATCAAGTGACGCAGCTTTTAGACATGCATTTATAAGATAAAATTTCATGAAAAATATTTTTTCTAACTAGATTTCTAAGTAAAAAGTAAGGATTACATTTGTATATTGAATGCATTTAACCACACAAGACACCAAATCATGTACATTATGGACTAATAATTTGTTCAGAAGTTTGATGTCTATAAAAGGGTAGCCTCAGCCCAAAACAGAAGACTACGTTTAATCTATCATTCTCGTACTTTAGGCTAACATTAGTTTCACAATGGTTTAAGGTGGGTTGTTTCCCCTACAAAAATGTCTCCTGCAGTAAAGTCCATTACATCTCTGATATGGGCCAATAGAATAAAACAGTGGGAATCTACATTTAATGATTAACACGAAAATAGCATACTTCTACATAAAAACAATGCAATAATCAAAGCACATAAAACTGTATACCTTGATTTTTTAAAATACAAAGGCTATTACTGTTGACAATTATCGTGAAAAATAAAAACCTTAAACAAATGAAGATATGAACGTATTTTTAAAATATGTTTATTAATAAAATAATTAGGAAATATTTGCAGTGTATTTTTAAAGATGCTTATTTGATCTATACTGTAGCTTTACTTTAAAAGCATTCACAAATGAGTCAAAAGCTATAAGTTACACAATTTAGACACATTTACCTATGGAAAAAATAAACAACATTATATATATATATATATATATATATATATATATATATATATATATATATATATATATATATATATATATATATATATATATATGTATATATATATATATATATATATATATTTATTTATTTATTTATTTATCTATCTATCTATATATATATATTAAGCAATATATGTTTGTTTGTGTGTGTGTGTGTCTGTCTTTTATGCATTACTACACCTCTCATCACATCACCGTGAAACTTTGGGAAGTTGTTGAGATAATTCCTGGGGAGGTTTCTGCGAAAAAAAATATTTCAAATTCGCAGGGGTGGCGCCCCAACATGGCGCGATTTGTTTTTTTCTATATACAGTATATACAAATAAAAGTCGATTTTGGTTTGGCCTTGTTCATCCGATAGCCATGAGACTTTGGGGAGTTCATTATAGCACTCTAGGGAAGGGTTCTCTAAAAAATAATTTTTAATTTCGCAAGGGCTGCGCCACGGGAAGGTCCGATTTGTCTCTATATACGGTATATAAAAATAATAAAAGTGAATTGCAGTGACACCGTTCATCCGATAGGCATGAAACTTTGGGGAGTTCATTATAAAACTCTAGGGAAGGGTTCTGTAAAAAAATCATTTTTAATTTCGCAAGGGCGGCGCCACGGGAGGGTGCGATTTACTCTATTTACTGTATATAAAAATAAGTCGATTTTGGTGTGACACCGTTATCCGATAGCCATGAGACTTTGGGGGAGTTGATTAGAACAATTCAGGGAAGGGTTCTGTAAAAAAAACTTGTTCAATTTCGCAAGGGCGGCGCCACGGGAGGGTGCGATTTTTCTCTATATACGGTTTATTAAAATAAAAGTCTATTTCGGTTTCACCGTTCATCCGTGTACCATGAAACTTTGGGGAGATGATTAGATCACTCAATGGTAGGGTTCTGCAAAAAAAATATTGTTTAATCTTGCAAGGGCGCGCCCCCCCTCCCCCCCCCCCCCCCCGATGAGGGGGGCGATTTTTTTTCTATACACGGTATATAAAAAATAAAACTCGGATGCGGTTCATCCGAGTGCCATGGAACTTTAGGGAGTAGATGAGAATACTCCCGAGAAAATTTCTGCGAAAAAGAAAACTAAAGTTTCTTATGGGCGGCGCCATATAGGGTACAACTTTCGTCAATACACGGTTTGGCGCCCAGAGTTTTAGAGCGACTATGTTGGCACTTGGCATCCGTTAATCGAGTGTCTTGCATAACGAGTAAAGGGTACTACTATATTCAGCGGTAAAACTACAACAGGCTTCTAAAAATAACTTTTTAACGCGAGGAAATCCTTCTGTACAGTTTCGTCACCTTGCCAAAGATGAAAAAATAACTTTTTGAATATGAGGAGCCTACTGTAGAGTTTCGCCACTTTGCGAATGATGCAATAAGCATCTATTATTAGACAATCCAGTCAGAAATTGAGATCGAGCATCTAATAATAGACCATTAGTAACGCTAGCATATTGCATCAGTCACACTGATGTTTAAAACACGTCAAATACTTTTTTTACGTGTTAAAGAAAAAAATCCTGTTCATTTGTGTCACTTTAGCGAATGTCGAAATCTGCATCATTGTTTACAGGATGCTATTGGCACGCTGGGTTACCCTATGAGTACGATGGCGCCTGTTTGTTTTAAGGAGCGAGGGGCCGTACGCTGCGCCTATGCGGTATTGTAAACGGGGGGTGGGGGGCTCCTGAGAGCGCCCCTCTACGTCCCTGACACATGGAGGGGTCATCGAAGTGTGTTCTACTTCATTATTATGGTGAGTGATTAATGTACACTCAATGTTTTCATGCTGTAGTTTAGGAAAACCGGTGTCCCGATAATTATAATCCAAGCACAGTCATTGTTTAGATTTAAATAACTGTTTTAGAAAACAAGGTCACGCGTCTAAGAACATATGATTGGTAATGCATTGGCAATATCCTTCTAATATATTTTGTCAGACGGAAGCGCTAGTATATATATAAAACATTGTGCTTTCTGGTAAACTAAAAAACAATTTTAACTAGTATTCCATGATTATAATGTATATTTTTATAAAAAAGAAATAACCTACCAATTGATTGAGGATTCTGTGATAGTTTTAAAACTTCTTTTTCCACAGTTTCAGGCTAAGAGCAGAACAACAGTGACAGAAATACATTGTGTCACAAACAATTAATTTGTCTTAATCCATCATCTTTTTTTTTAAGTTGGCGCAGTTAACTACAATCAATACAAGTATTTTGTGTAACAGCTCTGATATAAATGAAGGCTAGAACTTTTACTTTACTTTTTTAATTTATTACTAAAATAAATTAATCTATTTTATTTGATATTTAAAATTTAATTACTTCTTAAAACTAGTAAAAATAAAAAGACAAAGATACATTTTACGACCACTTGTTTTATAATTGTATTAAATATATAACATGGTGTTTAGCTATGAACATTTATGGTTAATTTACCTTCTTCATTTTCCCTTCCCTAGTCTCATAGTTTTGATTATATATTTCAATTATTTTGTCAATTGGCATCAATCTTTGTTGTAGAAGTTTACAAGTTACAACATGCTAAATAGAATAAATGTAAAAGTACATGTTTAATAAATGTGTTTACATAAGATTGAAAAATAAAACTCATAAAACAACTTATATAATGGCAGAATATTTTACAATGCAAGCAATAAATGTTATGTGATTTAAAATACCAGTGAAGAGTTGCTATGGTAGTGTATAGACGAGAAAAAATATAGCCACTAATAGAACTCTAGATAAGGGGTCTCCAAGCTACGGCCTTCGGGTCGGATGCGGCCCGTGAAGTCATTTTATCCGGCCCGCGACGATATTTTTCTCCACTGAATAAATGTTTGTTACAGGTGACTGAGGAACTTTACACAGAAAATTCAAAACAATTTGAAAATGTAGCTTAGTGTGCAAATACCTTTGCCCGCCGTGTTGCAGACATTGGTGAAAACATCGTGACTGAAATATCGAAAAATGCAAGCAACCTTTGCCATTTTTCATTTGCAATGGATGAGTCGCTTAACAGCTGTTCCACCTCAACTTCTTGTGTTCATTAGAGGTGTGGATGAAGATATGAACATAACACAAGCTCTGGCTTCCCTACATAGAATGTATGATACTGTTACCATTTTGCGAGAAAGTTCTGAGCAGAATATTTAAGTTCAGAAAAAATAGGTGACTTCCTGAAAGTAAAGGCAAGCCACAGCCATTATTGTCGGTGAAGAGTAAGAATAGAAATTGGCTTCTGCAGCAGACATAACAAGTCATTTAAATTTTCTGAATCTAAAACGGCAAGAGAGTGAAATCTAGTTTCTGATCTATAAACCCACCTATAGGCCTTCAGATACAAACTTGTCATGTATTTGGAATAAGTACAGGCCAACAACTTGACACACTTTCAGCAGTGCTAGGTTTTAACGGCTGAAGCAAAACCACTGATTTCCCCACGTCATGTACATACAAGATCATTAAAGACCTCCAGCTGCAGTTTCAGTAGCGATTCTCTTACTTGGATTCAAAGGCAGAAGAAGTGTGTCTGTTTCAAAACCCATTTGAAACAAATGTGGCCATTTGCGAAGATGAACTGCAGCGGGAGGTCATTGAATTGCAAGAAAATGACTTCCTTAGAGACACGTTCAAAGAAGAGCGGATGGGTTTTTATAAGTTTTTGCACAAGGAAGACTTTCCTAATATTAAAACTTCTGCAGCAAAGTACCTTTTAAATTTTGGAACAACATACCTGTGTGAACAAACATTTTCGAGAATGAAATAACTTAAGAATAATTTGAGAGCAAAGCAAACTTGGACATCGAGTGTGTTGTCGACCCCCCCCCCCCCCAGGTGTTTCTTCCAGACTTTTTACTTTAGGGGGAGGGGAGATGGTGATGGACACTTAAAATGTGTATATATTTATATATACTTTATATTTTGTTGGAGGGGGGCGAAAACGTTCTTCGGCGGGGGGGGGGGGGGGGAGCGCCACCACCCCAAAGAGATGCCTTAAAGAAACTCTGGCCCCCGAACTGATATTTGATAGTTAATACGGTCCTCGGGCTGAAAAGTTTGGAGACCCTTGCTCTAGATGAATGCATTGATGTAAATATTATTAAAATGTACCTTAGACAATAATTTATCAAATTTGTTTGTTGTATCTTCTTGTATAGCAGATATCAAATCAGAATGTCTTTTAATTTCTTGTGTTACATGATCTGTTTTATCTGTGTAAACTCTCATCTCTTTATTTAGTGTGTGCAGGTTGTTTTCATATTCTTTCATATCTAGAGACAGTTTTTCCAGTGTTTTGTCTGTGTCTGATTCTTTCGTTTTTAAACTTCCTATTTGTTGATTCAGAACTTCTATTTGGTTATACTGTTCTTTTAACTGTTTTCTTAAGTTTTTAAAATTCTGCTTTTGTTTCTTAGACAAGTTTTCAACTTTTATCCCTATATCATTTTGTTCTGTTACAAAGTTGTCTCTCCATTGTTTAATTTCTGATATGTCATCTTCAGTCTTTTTTTTGTATCTTGAAGGGATGATAAAGCTGTTTCAATATCCTTTAGTCTTCTTGATGTTTCTGGATTATATTCAACTGTAAAATAACAAAATTGTAATTGTGTCAATGTCTGAAGAAAATATTCTCAAACAAACTAAACATAAAGTTCAACACAAAATGTTGGGATTCCAGAATAAACATTGTTAATTAAATGTTAACTAAACACAATAAAACTGTATCTGTTTCATAGCATTCATTAAATATTTTAAAAGAAAAAACACACATTCAAAATTTCTACAATTTTTTTTTACATTGTTATTGTAATATTGTTGATTTTGCCAAAGTGTATTTAAAATATTCTTAGGTATACTGGTTGCAATTATTTGTAGATTACTTATAAATATATTGTATGTTATGTGTTAATGAGTGTAATTTTTTAAATAGTATCATTAAAATACCAGATATTGGAGCTTTCTTATCTGGAATGTCTGGTGTTGTCTTTTCTAGTGTAATCACTGTGGTAGGGGACAGCTTGGTGGATTCTGACAACAAGATGTACACACACATTATATCAGTTCATGATAAACTAATTTATGAGATGAAGAGTTTGCTGTCAGATTGGTGCATATAGATTTTTAATTCATAAAATATTTGTTATCAATCTTATTTAAGTAAAACATTATGAATCTTGTATATCAATTACAAAAAATATCATCATTTTAAAAGCTCAACTGTTTTGAATTGTTATTAAAGCAATTCTAGATCTATGTTTAATAGAAAAATAAAACTATAACCATACCAGTGAACATGTCTGTGTGTTCTAGTATTGTACTTTGTGCTGTTTTTATCATATCGATTGCATCTCTCATAGCTTTACTGGAGCCAGGTATATTGTCTACACATTCATTGGCTCTAGTTTTGATCTGGACAAGTAAGAAAACTGTTTAAAAACTGCTGACCAGTGCCCTATAACACTATGTAAAAACAATGTTGGTCTAAAACTGTTTAGTTGCATGCTCAGGCTTTGAACATGTTATAATGATTACAAAAATTTGACGTGATTGAAATATAATGCTTAAATTACAACAATATGACGTAGAAAATGTTAATGAATGCTAGACTTGACTGTTTTGAAAACAATTATCTCGTTTAAAATACACATCAATGATACAAAAACAATTTGTATTTACCTGCTGCAGAAAATCACTGATGATACTCTGTAGATGAAAGCTTGACTCGTCCAATAGCTCGAGCTGGGTAGTTAAATGTTTCTTTAGGTGGTCAGACATCTGCAAAATAAAATAATTGTGAGTCTTAAGTTTACAGTGGTTTATATTTCCCTCAAACATTTAAATCGATAAATAATATTACAATATATAGTAATTTTTTAAATTTAGTTTAAGTTTTCGAAGTAAACTTTTGTAAGATATACTAAATTATATTATTGGGTAATACAAAATGAAACTGAAACCTTTTAAAACACCAGGCATTAAATCCGAAAATATATAACGAACATCTACAGTATAAACAGACTACATGTTATATTTCATGTTATCTACCATACAACACATGCATAACTTACGGTGAAGGTCTAAGTCATTACATATCATCCTTACCTTAAGACTATATTCCAGAATAACATCAGCTAAATGTTGAGTCCAGAGTTCCTTAAAGCTTCCGACACATAATATCGGGAAAATCCAATAATTATATAAAAATGTATTCTCGTTTATTGAATACTGTCTGTATGCCAGTAAAGGCGCTATGTCGGGTGTCACCCGGTTTGGCACCTCATGACAAAAAAGTATAGGCTTTATATATACACACACTTATATATATAATATATATTTTATTTATTTTACATATAAACATACAAACATACATATATATATATATATATATATATATATATATATATATATATATATATATATATATATCAGGGGCGTAGCGAGGGGGGGGGGCAGGGGTTCGGACCGCACCGGGTGAGACCATTTAGGGGGTGACGCCAATGCGAAAAATAGCAAAATATATAGAAAAAAATTGATAAGTCCACTTAATTAAATGATTAATTAGAGTGTTAAATAGTCTTTTAATAGCAAATTTGACAAATCCCGACAAGGGTGGAGGGGGGGTGACACCATGACTTAAGCCTGCTAATGAAAGAGATTAACATGCTACATCAAGCTGTACTTATAACCGTCTATAGATTTTAAAAAATCGTTAGCATTATATCTGAGCACAGTTTAAAGCAATCGCCGTGGGGGGGGGGGGGGGGGTGGGAGGGCGGGAGTGGGGGGAAGTTACATTAACTCTACGTTGCAAAATATGCATAAGGTAAACGTTTCGGTTGAGAATCGTAATAACTTATGTGTTAATCCATGTTTGGGGGGGGGGGGGAAAGTTAAAAAATGAAATACATAAAAATATATTGTGAATACATATTTATACACATGCGTATATACATACTTACTTATATGTAAGGTTCTTAGATTTGTCCAGATGAAGTATTGTCTTATATAAACAATTGTTTGTAAAAAAAATGTATATGTAAAGGGGAGGTGACTTTTTAAAGTAATAACTTTTAAATAAATGTTTTTACTATTTAAAAGAAAAACTAAAATCACAAGGTCTAGCATTCACTGAAATAATTATTTCGTTATAAATTATGTCATGTATTGTACTGAAATCGTACACATTAATTTTGAAAGTGAATTTAATATAATATTTGATTTATGCTTGTAAGGAAGCCTTTGCAGTTCTAACAACATTGCGAGTAATAACTCAGATTATATATATATATATATATATATATATATATATATATATATATATATATATATATATATATATCTTTTATGGGGAGGGGTGACACCATTAAGTGAAACCCGACCTTTATATATATATATATATATATATATATATATATATATATATATATATATATATATATATATATATATATATATATATATATATATATATATATATGCATATATGTATAGTTGAATAGTTGAATATGATGTCACTCCCACACTGTCCCGTTTTGTCAAACTGCGGCTATTTGGGTACACGTTATTTTAATGCACATATTGATTCGTGTGGAAAAAGCAACGTTTTCAAAGTAAATTATTAAATGTGATTTCACCCTTATCCTGTTGCTGATTAATTTATCAGTTATTTAAAATATGCAAATAAACATAATTTCCCGCTGTAAATTTTTGCAGTTGGTGTTCGTCCCCCCCCCCCCTTCCACCGGTTGATAGCTTTAAAGTGTTCAAAGTGAACAGTAAAGTTGTTAATTTATAGTCAGTTATTAATACATCTAGATGTAGCACTGTGTTGTGTATAGTTAGAAAGTTTATGTCACTATGCCTCTCCCACCCCACCTACCTTGTCGGAAGCGTCAATTTGTATTAACATACGCATAAATCCAATTAATAATTCATTAAACTTTCGAAGGGTAACAACCGAGTAAATACAACTCATGCTAGACACCAAAGTTGCCTCCACTGTTTAGTTTTCAGAATTAAATTCTTAAGAGAAAAAAAAATATTGAGTGTTGACATTAACAATACAAAAAAAAAAAATTTAAAAAGTAAGTAAAACGACAGCCTGCATTAAATTTTATTCACATTTTCTTATGATTCTTTTTCCATTTTTAAGTAACCGATTTTGTAACTGCTATGTTGAAGTTTAAAATTTAAATTTTGGTTTATTAAAAAAAAAGAGTAGAACTGTAGCAAATAGTGGGTACATATGGTTAGTATGAATGACATCATAACATGAGAAAAGGGGCATACACAAATATCTAGTTAGCAAATATCTTTTATAAATAGGCCTATTTACTACGATATATTACAAAATACAAGAACATATTTTTTTACAAATCTACAACGTCAAGACTGAGAATGCAAAGTAAAACTACATTTAGGAATTTAGCTTCGTGCTAAGACAATTGCATTCTACTATAAATTTCCTTATTTCAAAGCTTTATTTTTAGAATAAAAACCTAAGATAACGTGCAATGAAAATAAAAACATTATAATCGTGAATAACTATCACCCGTTTAAACTTTTCTTAAAACGAACATAATTAAACCGGTTAATGTTTTAGTAGCTAAATAATTCACCGATACACATAGTGTGTCGGTGCATGTTTGAGATCATTTTGTCGAAATAGCACATGCGGGTCAACGAACACCAGAGCAAGATAACACGAATTGCTATTGCACGAATGAGTTGGTATTGTAACGTTTGGATATTGCGTTTTCTTGAGTAATCGTGTTGCGTATTTGGAAATTTAGAATGTTGAGTTGTTGAGTTGAACGTATGTTGAAAAGTGTTTTTCCGTACTTCAGAGTTGATTAATAGTGGGTTTGATGGTGTCGAGTTGACGGTATTGAGATAATGTAATTATATGTTTGGGTAACTCTACATTTATTTCTACACTGCAACTTCTATCCCCCATTAAGTCACGTCCACTACCAACTCTTCTATAATTGACGACTTGCTGCCCCTGACTTTCTAGTCAAACAGCTTGCACTAAAATTCTGTAGACTGGTACAACTAAAGAATATGTTTACCGACTCCTTGTCTTAATTAAAAATAGCCTTCCCCTTTCTTACCGTCTCTAGTCCCGTGACCCTGACCTTATCTTTGATTGGTTACCACTATTCACCATGTTTCAGGTTGTGCCGTTTCGACTGTCCAAACTACGAACAAGTTATATTACCTGTAACATGACGTCATCACATAATGTATAGCTTGTTCTTATCATATGCCGAGCTCACTGAAACAAGTGATCTTTACTTTACTTGCCATATAGACCGTCAGGTTTGAACAGGGAACTTACTTTAAAAATGTATTTTATAATCTTTGTATCGTGTAAGCAAAATGATGTGAATATACACAATCACAAATCATAATAAGTTATTTTTAGTTCATCAAACCACGTCATTTATTAACACAATTTAGGCTATAATTATCCAATTATTATTAAATAAAATGTTACTTTCGTTAAAGAAAGTTTAATTATAGACTTAAAGATAAAGACGAAGAAACAAAGTAACGTGTTATTACTGATTTTAACCAATAAAATATTTGTTATTCTTTTTATTACCCCTTAAAATAGGGTTTTTTTCCTGTACGTTTTATGATGTATGATGCATGAATATTAAAAATAAAAAAGGAAACAAGAAAAATGTGTACATTCACAATCCTTATTGCTGGTGTGTGAAAATAAAATATCTCCAGTTTTCATCTGAACCTGTACTCTCCTTGAAGCTTCACCCGATTTTTCATTTGTACAAACATCAAAGGGAAATGTCACCACATCACCAGATTTGTGCCCAACACCGGCTGTTACAGCACCATCTCCTGTTGGTTTTATTGTAAGGATTACTTTATACAGGCCATCAACAGGGGCGGTAAATACTCCAGTCTTTTGATCAAAATGGTTTCCTACGTTACGTTCTACAGCACTGAATGTAATAACTTCGACACATTTTTTCATGTCCGAGCGACCTTGTGAAGCAATAAACCCTGGTGTAGAATGTTTCGCTGCAAGGAATAAAATACAAAAGGTATCTACACATTACCAAATAAGTTATACAAACAATGTACACTAAAACTTTTTTTTTAAGTTGTTGTTTGTACTTAGACCAAATTCTCACACTAGAACTGCGCCGAATCAAGCGACGCAGCAATTATATACGTTCAAGAAAATCATATTTTTCAATTAGATTTCTGAGTAAACAGAAAATAAATAAATGTGTATATTGAATGTAGGTTGCCCACACAACACACCAAATCATGTACACTATGGACCAATTATTTGTGCAGTAGGTTGAAGTTAATAAAGGGTGGGCTCAGCCCAAAACAGAAGACTTTTATTTTTACATTCTAGTACTTTTAGCTAACAG